AAGATTAATGCTGCTGCTAAAATTGCTGTCGCTAAGAAAGCTCATTAATTGAATTAAGAAGGGTATATTGGTGTTTTATCAATGGTTTTATTCTTTTGTTACAGTAATTGTTTTAGAGTTATATGATGTGAAGTGATAGAATTAACTTCTTAAGAATTATAGTTTTTTAATTATAAATATAATAAAATAAGTAAACCCTATAACTAAATAAAATAAGAACTTGTTTCTTTAATTGGTGTGAAATGGCCAGAGGAATTGCTGTTGGACTTAAAAGAGGATACCCAGTTCATACTATGAAAACCGCTAAAAGACATTATGGTGTCACAAAAAGAAAGCACGTCGTTAATGATGTTATTAGAGAAGCTTGTGGTTTTTCTGCCTATGAAAGACACATGATGGATCTTCTTAGAAGAGGACTTGATAAGAAAGCACTTAAATATGCTAAAAAACATCTTGGAACACACAAAAGAGGACTTGCCAAGAGAGATGAAATCCAACGAGCTCTTGAAGCTATTAAAGCTGCCCACGCTCATCTTGGACATCATGAACAACACTGAGCAGGTTATTAAGAATTGACTCTATAAAGCTTTTTGGTTTTTATAAGACAGAATTTTTTAGGAGTAAAATAAAAAATAAAAGAAATAATGACTAACACTTTATAAAAGTATTAAGAAGGGTCAGTTTGAAGAGCTTTATATTCATGAAGTCGTTGTTTCATTTCTAAAGAAATGGTGTTGAGAGGTAGAGACAAAGGAAAACTTGGTTTTGATTCAGACTTTAGAGTTAATAGAAGTAGTGTTGTTTGTTCTGATGAAAAAGGTATTTTAATATTATGAATTGTACAATATTTTTGTGAAATAGAATTTGAAGGGGAAATAAGTGGTGATGATTCTTTTAATGGAAAATCAACTACATGATTGAGCAGAGCTTTTGAAGGGAAGCAATTGAGAATTGAAATAATTGAGTCAGGATTTAATGGTTGTTGAAATCTATCAATAAAGTGAATAGAAGCTTCAGAAAATTTAGACTTAGTATAATCGTTCAAAACTGATAAATTTTGAGGGAGTTGTACTATTGGCATTGACTGAGGAAAAAGGAGTTTAAATGCTTCTAATGAAGTTAGAGGGTCATTACCGAAATATAACTTTAAAATTTGAGGTTGTTCATGTTCAATGTATTGAGAAGAAAGAGAAATAATTTTAAGGTAAGCACGATGAAATAACGAATTGTCAGAAGCTAAAAGAGTATCTAAAGCAAATACCTCTAATTGAGGCATATTTAAAGGAAAATGTTTTTGGATACATTTCAAACAATCAAATAATAAAGTAAAAGTAATACCATTTGTAAGTTGATGGGCAAATCGTTCAACTATTTCTTTCATAAGTTCATAACCTTTATTAAGAGAAGGAAAATTATATAATAATCGAAGGATATTTGATATAAGAAATGGATAACTAACATTTTGTATTTGTCCTATGGGTTTGCATCTTAATAATTTAGATAATAATGGTAATAGTAATTCAATACAATCTAACATATCAATTGTTGTTGTATTTGCAAAATGGGTTAATACTGCAACAACAGCTTCAAGTATTACCGAGTTTTTAAGTTGTAGAAGTTTAATTGTTTCATGACACAGATGGGTTTGTTGTTGAGGTGTTAAATATGGAAGAAATAAAGGAAGAGTACCAAGTGTTTGTCTCAAAACACTTGACTCATTTGAAGGGCGTTGAGGGGCTTTATTAAGAATACCCAAACACCAGTTTAAATATGTTGGATAAGTGGATTGGTTAATATATAATTTTAATGTACGTAATGCACATAAAGTACTTAATGAATTAGAGAATGGATTTGTTAAAGATTTTTGAATAGTATTTGTGTGAAGTAAAAGATAACTTTCGTCATAAGTACTAAAGATATTTAATAGCGTTGTTGTAGAAATACGCATAAATCCAGTTTTAGAAGCTTGTGCTATAATAAAGAATTTATGACTTTCAACTGAATAACTTAAAGTATTCATTATGATAAGTTCTTGAAGTAACTCAGTCAAAACGAAAGTATTATTTTGGTTTTCATCAAATAACTGATCAATTTTTTGACAAAGTAAAACATTTTCAGTTTCAGTCACGCAATCCTGAAGTGCTAAAACGAAATTTCTATAATTTACCGACATTTAAATGAAGAAAAGAACTTCAAAATTTAAATCTTTTTCTTTTTTAAGTTTTTTTAATAATTTAAAATCTAAAAATATTTCCTCTTTGAAAAAAATTTCAACTAATAAAAGAAAAGCTCTTTTTTTATTGTTTTTTTTTTATTGTTAAATTTATTTCATCTTGTTATTTAATAAAACAGTTTATATGAGTCAGAAGTTGTCGCCAATTGATATTAATGAAATTTTTGAAATTGATGTGACAAAGAAAGAAATAACCAAAAAAGAAAAGACTCAAAAAGGACCTAAAAAGATGAACGAAGAAAATTTAAAGATTTTACAAAAGTTCGATGTGTGTTTTATCTATTTTTTTTTTAATAAATTTATTAATAAATATTGATATTATTTTAGACTTATGATACTGAACATAGTAAAGAATTAGATGTATTTCAATTAAAGAAATATATAGAAAAAGAGTTTAATATTTCATTAAATGAAGAAACAATTAAATATCATTGTGGTCAAACATTCTTAGAAAAAGCATATAAAGTACAAAGAAATGAATTTATTGCGTTTCATAAATATATAACATCAAATATTAATGAAATATCAGTTTGTTATTCAAAAAGAATTTAATAAAAAATATCTTTATAACATTTTAATAAAGAAAAAAAAAACAAAATTATTTAATTCATTTAGAAAGAAAAAACAAATAGTATTTTTGATGAATTTGAAAATCAATTTAGAGATAAAGGAGGAGCAGATTTTAAATGTAAATATCTTGATAGAAATGCTTTTGTTATCTCAAATAATGAAAAGCCACATTTATTGAAGAATAGTTTAGAAAAACCAAAAGAAAGTAATGATATTTATCATAGTTTTATATTCAATCAACTTTTTTCTAATACTAATTCTATATATAAGATGCCCAATCAATATCGAAGTGTTTTTGATGGAAAACCACCTTTAAAATTAAGTTTAGTTCAAGGAAATGAAGAATTATTTAATGTAGATTCATTGGTTCAAACAGAAAATAGAAAACCTGGTACAAGAAAAAGAAAAAGTAAATACCTTTTTGAATATTATAATCCTAAGTTATCTGAAATTGATTTGTTATATTCAGCGAATCTTACAAATGCTAAATGTCAATCTTTAGAAGCTGACCTTAAAATTAGGAAACCTTCTCTTATTGAAATTACTGGATTTAAAACAAATTTATCATTAGATAATTTATATTGTAGAATGTCATTTTATGATAAAGATTATATTAAATTAACTTCTAATTTCTACTTTGTTATAACAGCAGAAAAATTAAAAAATCATATGGAAAATAATAAAACACTTGAAATTCCTATTGCATCTGCTGTATTAAAGAAAGAATATATTGCTAATTTATGTCAAGTATTTGTTGTATTAGAAGTATATAAACAAATGGATTCTGATATTAATTTTGCACGTGAGATTTATTGTGATGATACTAAAAGAGAAGTAAAAGTAATTAAGAAATATAATGATCATTGTAAAGAATCAACAAAATTATTTGAACAAAAAGGTTATTTACAACTTTTAATGTTTAGTGCTAAATTAATTAATTTTCAAGCTTCATATTCAAATATTAAATTAGTTAAACCAAATGGAGATCCAAAAGATGTTGGTTCAATGATTAGGGATATTGAAAAGATGAAAACATGTGGAGAATGGAGTTTTAAATATAGAGGAACACGACCAGAAATTGTTCATATTGATGGACCTTATAGAATGTTTTCTTCTGAAAAAAATGAAACATCAACATTAAATATTTTAATGCTTACAGACATTAGTCCACCTGAAACTGATGAAATTTATCTGGATTATCAAAATTTATTATTTGTTTATCCGTCTGAAGTGTCTTTAGGAAAAGAGAAAAAAAAGAGTGGAATAATTTTAAATGTTTATCTTAGAGATTCTGATTCTTTATTTGATGAGTCTAATCCAGATGCATTAAAAATGATATTCCCTTGTCAAGAAGGAGTAATAGAAAATTTAGAAACACGTTTTACATCATCTGTATCTATTGATAAAGTTGGGCATTTTATTGATGAAGTAAAGATCCAATTACCTTTTCCTCTTAATGAAAAACATCATTTACTTTTTGTGATTAAAGACATCAATGTTGATGATGGAAGTGAAGGGAAACACTTTTTTGCAAAACTCCCATTATATCAAAAAGGATTAGTTGTTCAAGGAGGTGAACATATTATCCAAGTTTTAAAAGATATGGTACCAAATTATCTTCAACAAGGTGAGTGTTATGATATAGCTAAAGTATATGTTAAGGCTAATATTCAAGTAGTTTCTTCTGTATATCCACAAGATCCTGTTATAGCACAGTTTATTTCAGGGAAAGCAAGTATTAATGATATAAGAGATATTGAATATCATTATGATCTTGTTCATTTCCTTCCATGTATTCTTCAAAGATGTATAGATGTATTAAATGATAGAAAAAGAGAAGAAATTTATGAAATGTTTCGTGTATTTAGAATTATTGATTTAACAAAAGAGAATAAGACTGATGATGACACAGAAGACAAATATCTTGTTTACAAAAATCCATTAATTCTTAATGCCATAAATCATTTTATACCAACAAAAACAAGTGGAGGTCATTATCTTTGTACAATCATTTTATCAACTTTACCTATTATTTTTGATAAAGCAGAAACTATTGCAAAAGAAAGACTAAAGTATGTATGGATTATTTTCGCATTAATTATTAAATCAATGGTTGGGTATTATGAAGACAAGAAAGTTTTTGATCTTACTAACTTCCATGATTTTTGTATAACTGAAAATGGTAAAATAGTTGGGGGTTCATTATATGAACGATCAATTTTGTTTTCTGATTTTCTTGTTTATTGTTCAGATAATAAAATTGTTGATGGACTAACTATTCGAGATGCCAATTTATTCTTTGCTGAGTTCATTAGAGATTTATCTTTATTATGGAGACATGATGAAATGGCTAAACTTGTTGATAGTCATTTGGACAACCTTTCAATGATGAAAGAGAATGATGTGTCTTCTCCAAGTAATTTCCAACAATTACTTCGTCTTGAATTTATTTCAGTCTTAGCCGAAAGTGATCATTTGTATCAAGTTAATGGACCACAATTACTTGAAATTAAAGAAATTAATAAATTAAATGATCAATTACAACAACGACACACTTTAATGTTTATTATACTAAGACAGTATTTCCAATTAATATTAAATCCTGATAAAACAATTAGTACAATGGCATTACAAGAATTACTTATTATTATGAATAAATATGATCTTGATAAACAATTTTCAACTCAAACA